CAATAAGAGGCATGGGCAGCTTAGAGTGAAAGTGAGAAAAGAAGGATATATATATATATACATTATGTGTGTGTGTATGTATAATATTGGCCTTTCTATGTCCTTCGTGGGCCCGCTTTCTTTGAGGATGCCCAGACCTTTCATAGCTTGGGCCCAGCATTCCTGGCATGTTTCCCGTGGCAGCTGCTTTGGGCGTTGAACCGTTGACAGGTGGACTGAAATCGATGAAGGAAAGTCCATGTTCGATTGTTGACCTTGGTGCTGTGTGCAGAATCGATCTCAGGGTGCTCATGTTTGTCAGGTGTTAATAAGGTTGTTGTAAACGAGGTGGGTCAGGTGGTGATTCGATCGTCCCATGGACGAAGATCGTCAGCATGTGCGAGATACTCCTTTCAACTTCAGAAGTCATTTGACAATTTGAGAGTTATTACGAAATGTCAATGACTTTGCCGCTACTTTAGGGTTAGCGATGGTTAGGGTGTAGGATGGTTTAGCTTGCAATAGCTTGCATGCCACCAGCTGACCCTGTCATTGGTTGTAGCTTTGTAGCAATATTTAGGATCAAGACATGAAGTACATCCATAAGGCCAAAGTAACACAAGTGCCACACTAGACATCAGACATCAGCCATACTAGTGACGAGATGGTGCGATTGCTCCTGGAAAGGGTCAAACCCATACATCGGCAGAGAGCTTCAAGGTACGCAGTGGCATTCTAGACTGGAAGCAAGACTCTCCTGGGCAGGTGCCACTAATTATTCCCAAAAAATGCGTATGCTCCATGCTCCACCTGCTTGATCAACATCACAGGCATCAGGCACCAAGTGGATTTGGCGAAGGTACTTGATCACCATGTTTGGGGTGTTCATGGGTGTCCTTTGCCAACTTTAAATCCATTGGCTCATTGTTGCCGGAAACAAATTCCACTTTCCAAGAGCGCCCACTTTTGCCCATGACCAGCCGATGGCAGCGGATTGCCGGATGGCTGCGGCTGGTGGACAATCAGAAAAACCTGGCACGTTTCGTAGGAGAGCTGAGGGACCTACGGCTGTCTCTTTGTCACGTTTCGGCCCCGGTGGACCTTGCTGGAACCAAAAGCCCGAGGCCCGAGGTCATAGGCCATGGGAGAGGTGATGGCATCATACAGTTCCGCCAAAGAGATGAGAGTATTAGCTCACTCAAGACAAGAGCCCTCCTGGCTTGGCTTGAGGTCCTTGGAGTATTGGCAGCTGGCATAGGTGTGCACACATAGCTTCGTTCACTGTTCAGTGTAATTATACTACGTATGCATATATGTACATACAGTATCATACACATATGTTCAACAGTGCGACCACTTCCAGATGTTTTTGGGGGTTTCTTCCTATTCTGGCACACCGCGGCACATATGAAGGCTCCAAACACGTTCCACAATCGCGTGACATTTTCGATGAGTGGCTTCTGAGACCAAAGACTCCTCGCTGACGCCCCTGCAGGAGGGATGACCTTGAGCTTGGCAGCCTTAAGCTCTATGAAGCGGGTTACACCGGGGCATGTGGGGCTCATCGAGGAGCGAAAAAAGCACGCCAGCTTTTTGCAGGTGTGCAGTTTGTTGGTTTGCTGTGTGTGTGTGTGTGTGCGCGCGCGCGTGCGTGCGTTCGTCCTTGCTTGCTTGCTTGCTTGCTGACATACAGTGCTTAGTTTGGCTTGGATTGAGGACAGTATTAGTCAGTGTGCCAGGATTGCTTTACTTCCGCAATGTTGATATTCAGTGATTCCAGGATTATCCAACCTTTGCCCTAAGAATCCTAAACATGTCAGTTTTCCCATGGTGGTGCTTACTTTTTGTTTCTACTGTATAACCTTGCCTCTCAGACCTGCTACAGGTTTGCTACCTGCTACAGGTTTGCTACCCGTGTCGGCGATGCCTGAAATTCCCGTGTTCCATATGTTCCATTGTTTACATCGAGCGAAGAGAAGCTTCCGACATGTCCGTGCTTCAGGGATGTTCGGGTTGGGGGACTTTCGGTGTATATACATGTTCGTAGCGGTGGCACCTTGATCCTGGACAGGTTGGTCATGGTTGGTTTAATCCATTCTTATCCAACAGGTGATGAAGGATGTTTCTGTTGTGAATTAGAATGGGCACCGGTTGAAGAACGTTTCAAGATCCATTCCAATCCATTAGATGTTGGATTGGCAAAAAATGGTTCCAGATGTTTCTGTTGTGAAGGTGGATTGTCAAGACACCTGCACGACTGTCATTTGTGGTGGGGAACTCATCGAGTTGAAGTTGAAGGCAAAGCAAAGCACCTCAACAAGCATCATCCCTGTTCATCCCAGTTCTCACTTTTCAGAGTCGGTGCATGTGTGACAAAGGAACTCGGCAAAGAAGAGGATGCCACAGATCAATGCATCAAGAGATTTATGTTGGCAGGACTGGCAAGGAAATCTGCGGCCCTTCATCTACGATGACAGCCAGATGGTTTTGGCCATTCCAATTTGGCACAAGTGTGTCACTTCGCCGCATGGAAATGACTCCGTCGTCGGATCGAAAGCCTCGTGCTCCGAACACGTAGGGTTTTTGCACGGCGATTTGCAGTTACGTTTGTATATATATATTAATTGCACTTGTTTGCAATGATGCCTGTGGAGATCAAGGTTGAAACTCGTGGTGTTTCATTTGGCAGTTGTTGATGTCCTGATCCAGTATGTCAGCCGTTTGAGCGCCTGGAGTATGCACAGGGTTCGCTTCATGTTCATGCATTTTGGGCCATCCACCGTAGCGCCATATGTTTGTCAGTTGTCCTTTCTTTTGGGGAGCTAGAGTCTTGAGCCAAGTGAGTGGAATCCAATTCGAGAGGATGGCTGGCGGTGCTTTTGTCATGAGGTGTGTCCCCTTCAAGAATCACGGGGGTGTTTGGACACGCACCACGCAGGTGCATGTCCACAAGACCTCTAGATGAGCTTTGTAATTACCGAAAGGTTGAGACAGACCCACTTGGCAAGAGTTGTTGTTGAGACAGACCCAGCTGTCAGTCCACAACGTCTCCGTGTAAAGAAGTGAACCGAAGAATCTTCATCTCGCCCAGTTGAGTCCTTCAGGTGAACATCCGCTTGATTCCCGTGAAGAAGCGCTTTATCAAGGAATATCCCACTAAGGCCAGATGCCGGGCCGATGCAGGGCCGTTCTGGCGACGGTGGCGGCATATATATATATATACACCTAGAACCCATTTGACCTTAGTTTTGATCGGAAAAGAGAATGTTTGGGCTCCAAAACAGGGGTCAATCAGGTTCTAGGTGAATATATATATATATATATATGTATCATAGATTTATATATGTTGTTCTATAATATATAGATTTATATATGTACCAAACGGAAGGAACGTGTGGCTTCATGATGATTGTATGCAGCTTCTGCAGGAGCTGTGACTTGTACCGCTACTTTTAGGTTCAAAGTGTTATTGAAATTGTTCAGCATGGTCAAGACTAGATTTGCAAGTAGGAAGAAGGGAGAAACTTTTGTTCAGCAAATGCTACAAGACCCAAAAGACTTCTAGTTTCTATGCTTACTGCTTCGTTCAGAACCGCCGCATCGATTCCGGGATTGTTTTATTTGGTCGCGCCATGAGTGGTGAAGACTTTGACAGTTTTTGCCAACAGGCACAGATCATTTTGTCAGGCCCACCTTTGGACCGGCAGTTTTTGGCTGGACTTTGGGACGGTGCAGACAAAGACTTAAATCGTGCAATCAATCACTTGTTGGGTTTGCCGGAGGACAAGGTCGTTCGAGAAGGGGCTGGAGGGGGTGGAGGCGGAGGTGGTGCGAGCCCAGCTGAATCCAAGCCAAGCAAGAAAGAGTCCAAAAGCAAGAAAGACTCGAAGAGCAAAAAGACCTCCAAAGAGAAGAAATCCAAAGAGCCAGAGTCGACAGGGAATGATTGGGGTGGTGGATTCTTTGACACGACCAGCGGCTTCCCAGATGCCAGTGGTTTTCCAAGTGCAGGTGACTTCTCTACTCAGGGCTTCCCCACACAGCCTGAGGCTTCCTTTGGCATGCCAGGAATGGCAGGAATGGCGGCTCCACAAGCCTTTCCAACCATGCCACCGCAATCAGCTCCAAGCTACCCAGATCCATCCTTTGGAGCTTATGCCCAGAACTCACCCTATGGTCAGCCACAAGGACCGGCATTTGGTCAACAAGCGCCACCACCTTTGAGCCAGCCACAGCCTTGTCAGCCTTGTCAGACCCAACCCTGCCAGCCGTGCCAGACCATGCCGCCACAGACCATGCCACCACAGACCATGCCCCCACAGACCATGCCCCCACAGACCATGCCGCCGCAAACCATGCCACCACAGACCATGCCGCCTCAACAGATGCAACACACTCAACCCCCAATGCAGCAGCCATACTCCCAGTCCACTCAGCCTTCCTTCAATCAGTTCCAATCAGCCCCAGATCCCAAGATGCACTTCGGCGCCGCCACACCCAGCACAGCCTGGGACAGTGAATCGGACAGTGAAAATGACTGGTGGAACAATCCGGCCCCTTATGGATCAGCACCTCAAACCCTTCCCTCCGCCTCCTACTTTGCCACACAAATGCCCCCGCCGGGGCCGCCCCAGCCCTGCGGAGCTGCACCCTGCGGAGCGGCGCCCGCTGGCGGCTTCGGCGGAGGCTGTGCGCCTCAGTTTGGTTCACAGATGGCAGCATGGGGCTGAAGGCCAATGCGTTTGATGTGAGCCCGGCCAAGTCGTTTGGTTTCACAGACCATGCTCAAAGCAGAGAAAATAGAAGATGAGAACAATTCGTGATTTCTGATTTCTGGATATTTCTGGTTTGTTCGGATCAGAGTGATGTGATCTTTCAAAGCGAGTGGGATCAGTTTTGGATCCCCCACCCAGCAAGTGATGCTACCTTTGTGAAGGTGTCATCCGCATCGGTTTTACAAGAGTGTGACCAAATCAAGAACATTCTCACGAAATAGCGGCTATGTTTTACAGGTTTCATGGTAGCCAGGAGTCGTTTTCAGATGTTTTCAGCTTATACTGCGCCTGGGCCCTGTAGAGCTGTAAAGAATGACCAAAGACATGTTTGCCTGTAGCCGGTGCAGCATTTTAGTGGGCGGCAATTGAGTGGTTTGCAAAAGTGGTTGCAACAAAGCATGACATGCAAGACATGGCATGACACCTGCCCATTCGCCAGGTCAGAAGGTTGAAACGAACAAGCCTCATTCGCCAGCAGAACAGACATGAAGAATGGCTGAAATCAGTCCATTCGAATCGCCAGACTGGCAACGCTTTCGAATCGCAGACTAGGTCACACATTTTGTGCCTTTGACTTCGATATTTCTTGGCTGCCATGGCTGGCACAGAAATGCAGCGTGTAGTCGACGAGGATGATGACATCCCACGGCGTTCAGTCGCCAGAAGTAGTTGGGATTGGAACAAGATTTGCGCCTACCACACCAACCGTGTGGTTCGGATTCAGGATGCCAATTTGGGTTACCTCTACTGGGGCATTGTGACCATTGTGGTGCTTTACATCCAGATCGTGGTCTTTCACATCGAGGGTCGACATACATTTCAGGACTTTAGGGCGGCCGCTCTTGTTCGGGGAAAAGACGACTGGGTGACTGAGAACGCACCTAGGAAGCCTGGAAGCGAATTTCGTGTGATTCATGCTGTTGCTTGGACAACTGTTGCTTGGACACATGGACACAGGTGAACTGAGTGTGGTTGAACTACCTTGTGGCTTATTTCTTCAATGTGTTTCTATAGGATCGACGACTAGACTCGACCCACGTGGGGGTGTGTGGGGAGGGAGAAAGTGATCAACCCCGGTGTTCTCAAGAACAACCTGTTCACCGTTTGAAGCTGAACTTGAACATTGAGCTTTGTGAAGATGCGTTTCCTCAAGAAACAAACTGTTTTGATGTCTTTAGTTGCATTCTGAGCCTTCACCCAGCCATGTCAGGAGCCAGGGCTGGGTGCTGTGATCACCAAGTTCAAAGGCAAAGGTTTCACGAAGGGCGTGTTGGCAGGGTGAAAGAGTTGGGGGCGCTACAGTGGTTGTTAAACTTTAAATTATACTATGCATTATGATATGTGCACAAAAACATGTTTAAAATCATGTTTGCATGTTTCAAGCTATGTTGAAGGCAACAGTGACTGACTGAAATTGAACAGTATAAAGGTATACGGTATGATATGAATGATAGACATCCCCGAGCAGCCCACTTTTCCAACCTATCATTGCCCGGCACCACAGTGGTGTGCAACTTCACAGGATGGCAAGGCTTTCGATGCTCCAGACCTTCGTTATCCCATCATCGAGCCCTCGGGTGCCTTTCTGATGACCCGGCGAGCCACTCAGCGCAAATCACGCTTCGCATTCGCTCGGGGTTTGTGTCTTCTCAGGCTTCGGACTTGTGTTTCGCCCCCTTCATCTCCTTTCACAAGGGGGTTTCTGTGGACTTGAAACGATTTTGGTTCCACTACTGGCGTCGGTCGGCTTTGTACGTCTGGCAATTCCGACCGCCCAGCCCAGTGAGGTTTGGAGGGTCTCCATCTTCTCAGACACACCATTGACACACTTATATTTTCCCCTCCTTGAAAGTGGCGCCCCACCGAGGTCACAGTGAAGGACCAGAAGATGGGCACTTGCATCGATTGGGATTCCCCTGAGCGATGTCCCTGCGGAGAGCATGCCACCTGTGGTCCAGAGAACTTCTGCGAGGTCAAAGGCCTCTTGGTCAGAGATCGCATCCACTTTCCACCTTCCAGCTTCAGATGGGGTAGGTCCCGGCGCGCTTTTTGCGGGACACGTTGTGGAATGCTTCCGGATGAATATGCTACCCCCCCACCAGAGAGATAAGAGGGCCTGAATGGGCCTGGTGTGCCCTTCCAAACCTTTGGTTTTGGGATGTGTTGGGGAATTCCCCAATGAGGCTTCAAAGGGGTCCTTTGTGTCACGTCTATTTTTTGAGGGGTTGACCCATGGGGGGACAGACCCACGTTGATCATTGCACGTCTCAGCCACTTGCTTTCCGAAATGGATTCACCTCCGATCCTTACAATGATCCCGGTACGAGACCCCAAACACAAACAGTGTGTGTGAGGGTGTTTTTTTGCAGAAAATGTGTGTGTGTGTGTGTTTTTTTCCACTGTTTGGGGAAACAGACCTTTTCTCCTTTTCTCATCGAGTCTCATCTTGTGAGGCTGGTGCCCCTCCTTAGGGGATGGCAACATGGAGCACCCACCGCAGGGCGCCGAGGTGGAGGAGATCTTGGGCCTGGAGGACGCGGTGCTGATGATCGTGGCGGGCATCGGCTTTCCGAGCATCGGGCAGACCTTCCATGTGGCGGGCTCCAGCCCGGAAGCGTGGAGAGTGGGGGGGGGGAGGTGGTCCTGACCGGGGAAGTGGAAATGGGGTGGGTGATGGTGGGTGGGGGAAGATGCAAGCCAAGTTGGGCAAGATAGGGAGTTCAGAGGTGTTCAGAGTACACTGTTGGCTTTGGGCTTTCGGCTTGGAGACCTTCGAAGCTGCCTGGTGGGTGGCAATGTGGTTTCACCGACTCATGGCAATCCTCACATGAAGTGTTTTGCCACCCAATGCCCCAAACAGGAGGGATGATCCCACCCCTGAAAATGATCAGGGTCAGGATGTTTGATAGGGGCTTTTGTTTACCAAAGAATGATTGGTCCGGTTCATTGTTCAGTTGTCCACGTTGACCAACGAATGATCAGCTTGGTCACCACGGTGACCACATGTTTTGCAGTTGTGCGCTGGGTCCGTTTGGGCCCCTTGGTTGGGCGACTTTTTCTGTTTGCACTGTCAGCATGAAGGCTGTTCTTTGTGGTTGGTCACACAGCCAAACTATATACAGTAACCAAACCTATCAACTGGTCTGGTCACCTGCTTTTGACGAGTTTGGGTGTGTCCACGAGCTAATCGTGGACCTACAGTACTTGAGTAGGACCCTGCTTCTTTGAAAGGCGGTTGACTCCTTCCTCCTTCCTTCCGAATGGAATTTATGGCGCCCCACTAGCAGTCTTTGGGCGTCCCAGCTAGTAGTTTCTTCCACAGCCTGACACAGGCCAGATGCTCCAGGCCTTCGAAGGCCAAAGGGCTCCAAAACAAAAAGAAACAGGAAAGAGAGACTTGACATGACGAACTCGAGTTTATCAACTTTGCAGGTCCGACCGGCGGCCGCCATGGCGCCGCATACGTGGACGCCGGACGTCGACGCCGGACGTCGACGCCGCCACGGCCGGTGGATCCGAGGATTCGAGCACCTTGCACAAGCACATCACAGTTCCACAACTCTTGGAGCTAGCAGATCCACCGGTGAAGCTGGAAGATGTGGCCCAAACCGGGTGCATCATTGCGGTGCCTCAACCGGAGGAAGAGCGGCTTTGGTGGAGGGGGGTTGCGTTAGTTTATGTGGGCTTCAAATTGACAAAGAATAGTATGGAACGAATAGAATGATAGTGAATGGTCTAAGATCGGATGTCGTCACTTTACTATGGGGTTCATCCTTTTCATCCCTGCATATGGATGTTTGTTCTCAGCCCATGAGCTTGACTCTACGGAATTTCTTTGAATTTACCAAAGAAGTGGCAAAAGTGGTTTTGTCACAGACAGTTCCAAGTATCATCATCAAGTATCTAGAATCTAGATATTGGCAGTTCGCAGTGCGTGTCCATGTCGCATGGCTTAGTTCTCATTTCATCTCATCTTCGCCATGAGTGTGCCCCCCCAATAACCCACAGAGTCCCAAAGTCCGGTTTACCATTGGAACTGCACCTGACGAGATCTGACAAGTCAGGTGAACTTTTTTTGGAGTTGTGACCTGAGCTGGCGCTCTGATTGTGAACCGCAACTTTCGGTCAAGCGGCTGGATGCGGGCACTGGCTTCGTACAGAAGCGGGCGAAGAAGAAGACGACCAATGGGGTTGAGACGCGAGAGGCCGTTTATATGCATCTGGGTGAAGGAGAGCGAGGGATGGACGATTGGGATGGTAAAGAGATGAAAGAAATCCCAAGAGGTGGTTGACAACGGAAGGCAGTGTGTGATTTCAGGTGCTGGACACGAACTCTTGCCTAAATGATCCTAAATGCTTCCAGTATAATAGATGCTGATATCACCTGGAACATCACTGGTTCAATATGTTTCAGGAATTTGATTCTAAGGGATATGTCCGGCAAGCCCGGTTTTTCATATCAAGACCTTGTCAGGAATCCGAAGGGTCAATTTGGCAACCACATGACGACCACAGCTGCAGGTGGCAGTGAACCATCCACCCTGCCACCGTCAGGTACGGCCTGCGACTCATCGTGGACTCTTCTGGGATCGGTCGACAGATTAGCCTGGTGCCCATTGTGATCTAGTTGGGCTCGTGCTTGGCGTTTCTGGGCGGAACACCTGGAGTTGTTGGCGAGCGAGTCTGGAAACCCCAATGAAAGCTCTCCTGGGTGAATTTTTGCGGTGAAGAGCCGAAGAGATTCGGGGTCCGAGCTGGAAAGAGGTGGTTTGTAAATCAGGGTTCTCACCGATGGGGAGACCCAATCAGCAACCCCAAATGCTTGTTTTTAGTACGTAAATCATGGCTTATGGGGGTACCCCTATTCATGGAAATACCCATATGGTACTTATATGTTCATTATGTTCATGGTTTATGAATGGCTCGTGAATCGGTCATGTGTAGGGTCTATTGATTGTTTATGAATGGTGTGTCAATCGTTCCCAACGGTTTGTCAATGGTTTTATGAATGGTTTCTTGATGGCATCAATTACAATATCAGGTTTGTCAATTTCTTTTCCATGATGACTTGGCAGTTGGTACTTCTTGCGAATGGATCATCAGTTCGTAGTGGTTGAGAACTGATGATCCATTTTTGGTGGTGTTGCTGACGCGGCCTAACTTTTGTGTTCGCAAGCTGCAAGTGATTCATTATGGCTCTGACTTGACTCTCAGACTGGATATCAAACAATGCCGCTGCCACTTTGCTCGCAGAGGTGTTTTTGGTTCTTTGCGCGGATAGCATCTCCGTTCGAAGCCGCCATTCGCCAGCTCGGACTTCATGTCGTTTCTTTCCATCCAAGATTCAGCCGTGTTCATCATAGCCTCTGCTGTCAGCTGGCTTTCTTGGCTATTGTGGTTTTGCAACCGCTTGCCTTGTGTGGAAAACCAACTTCAATTTGTTGGAGTTGGCAGCATCACCCTTGTTCATCTTGTATTGTTGCTCTGGGTCTTGACCCACTTCATCGAAGACATCCTTCAACTCGTGTACGGTTATGCGACAACCACAGCAAGTGGCATTTTTGCCGGCCTTGCCACACTCAGTGTGACATTTTTCACTGCCACATCTGTGATGTGGGCAGGTCCGCTGGCCTTGGTTGCGCTCATGCATAGTTGGAAATGTCAATCCGCCGCAGACCGTGAGCGGCGAAGGGTCATGACGATCTGGTCCGGAGGAACTGCAATTATCTGCCTTCTGCAGGTATGTTCCGCAGCTCCAGCTTGGTTCTGGTGGCGAATGGATGATCTCACAGAGATTAGTCCCATCAGATCCTGCCAGTGCAACTTTTGGGAACCAATTTGGCTATGGATCTCTTTTTTGACTTCTGGCATGGGTTGCGTGGCTTGCAGCTTGCTATCAGTCAAGCTCTTGCTGAGCTATGCTTGAGCTCTTGCTTTTAGATGAGTGAGGGCAGGGAGCACATTTCTATGTCTCTCAGAGCTGCTTGCGCCCATCGGATCTGTGATTTCATTTCGTTCTCGTTTTGTAGTTCCTGCAGCCACCCGTCATCTAGTTTCTAGTCTTGAGATGTCTTACGCCTTTTATGGCAAGCAGCTCACTATCCCTTCATTGGGATGCCCAACGCCTGCTTAGTATGTCAGAGAGACATGTTAATTCACCAACATTGCAATCTGCGTTCCTATACATGTTCCTAGATCATGTTGAAGTTGACATGTTGCTGACAGGGAAGACTACTGGGACAACGCTCCTTTGTACAGTGAACTTGGCATGGTGTGGCGGGCAGTCCTGCAGGCTGGTGATGATTGCCGCTAGCCGCTAGTCTGAAGCCGACCATTTCGCTTCAGTTTGTAGCTGTTGACATGCCTGACTTGCCGGAGAAAAAATCACCGATCCAAAAATGTGTGCCTCAAAAAATGAGCCCCAAAAGATGCCATGACAGATCCAGTACATCACTGGACTGCACAGTGGCCAGTTTCAAGTTTTACATAGTTTCTCCATGTTTCTCCTATATCCACATAGATGCGACATTCATTGCGTTTTCAGCGTCCAGACTGATGGTCAGCTTCATAGATTATACCCTCATCATCCCATCATCCCTCATGATTTTTCCAAGAGCATGCTTTCCGGCTGCTTGAGCCTGGATGATGGCTTCGGTGCATCGTGGGTGCATGGTTGCATGTTATGTGTTTGTGTTTAAGTGCTGGTCACGTATTTGAAATCATGAGACTTATCAATTATCACTGGTAAAATCGTGCAGATTTGTCCACGCGGCTTTGGGATGGTATAGAGGCCGATAGTTCCATGATCTTCCATGTGTTGCCATAAGTCTGATGCTCGAAGATGTGGGCTGGTTGCCAAATCGCTTTGTGACTAGTGACTAGGCCCTTGGTTGCCAAACCGTTTTGTGAAGGACTTTGGTTACCAAGCCTTTTTTGACAAAACCATTGAATCCCTTGGTTGATGAATTGCTTGACAAGATCATGGGTCGCAGAACCGTTTTGTGAAAAGTTGTTGCTTGCAAACACCTTTTGGTGTAGACATGCAAAGCATTGTATGACAAAGTCCACAGTCACACGGCCTCCTTGGCTCCTACCCTGCGAGTTCCAAAAGCCTATATAACCTATGGAGGAATAGAGCACACGCTGAGCTGTGGCTGTAATGGGTCGTACTGGTCCAACACCTGCCCATGGCGTGCGTAGCCATTAAGCCATGCAACACCCCTTCCGAACGAAAACTGTCGAGTAGTTTGTTTGTCGCTCATCGCATACCATCTCACAAATTGGCCTTCCACATTGACTGTGTGGCCAGCCATTTATACGACTGTTTTTTGCATATTTTTGCAGCCTTGAGTCTTTGAGGCAAAGCTTGCGCTTGCGTTGTGGAACAACATGACACAGGATGAAACACGTTGATGCAGCACGCCACGAAACCAAGTATCTAGCCCAAGGCAAATTGCACCGTCTAAGAGGTGACGGGCCGACAACCTTTCGCAAGGCTGTCACTTTTGGTAAAAGGACTTAGCTTCAGAAATCTTGCTTTACCGTGTGTAACCAGTCGATCTCACCTGTGCTTCGCCTGCTCGGCTTGTCCAGAGCGCATATTTTCCGAGCGTTTGTCCTTTCATCCTCAGCTCGCGCGCAGCTACCTAGTTTTTTCAAAGCCACATCGAGTTGCGGATCTACAGCATCAACCTTGGCATTCATTTGGCATAAAAGACTTGCACCAGCGTTTTTCTGGCAAATCCGCATCAGTCGTGAGCTTGGCTGGAACAACCCCGGTTGAGGGTCCCGGTATAAATCGTTTAGGTTTTCCGGTGAGGTGCCATCCGAGCTTTCAAACACCCCCAAAAAGAGGTGGCACTGCCCAAAAGACACTCAAAGGATCTCAAAGGCAAAACCGCTGGATCATTGAAAGAATAGACTCGACTTTGGGAAGAGTAAAGAAATGTGGAGAATATGTTCATCGATTTAGGGCCTCGTTGGTTTGTTGTGGTCAGATCAAGCGACTTCAAGCCGTGAATCGCCGCTGGATTATACTCAGCTCCTCGCCGGTCAGCTCCGCCCGGTCGAGGTTGGTGCAAATTGCCTCCATGGCGGCTGATTTCTTGATGGTCCGGATGTACGACAAGGAGCGTTGCGACGCCTACTATCGATGCAAGGTGGTAGAGACCAAGGACTACTCCGAGATGCTACTTGTCTAAGACGCCCACCTCTTCTAGTGCCATGGGTGCGGCTCAAAACGTTGTAGCCCTTCTTGGTTTGACGAGGATATATAGCTTCATTCAAGAGTGGTGTTTGTTAACAGGCTTGCGAAAGCGGTCAGGCACGTGATCAATAAGCATGGAACTCCGTGCTATGCGACTGCGGTATCACAATTCTTTACCCCAAATCGCTGATCCACTCAGACCGTCCTGAGGCAAGAGCGTTTGGACTTGGTCTCTGATCAACGCGCGCGAGCTCGTGAGATGGTTTCTGGTGGGCAGATCCGCAGCGGCGGCACTGGCGCCGGCGTCTCCTTGGGCCTGGGCGCTGGCGCCCGCGGCAGCATGTCGGCGGTGCTCCGCGGCCGCAATGTGGGCGCACGCAGTGGCGCCTCAGGCTGAGCAGTTCTGAGCAGTTCTGCGTGGGGTTTGGGCAGCGAAAGCAACCTGAACACTTGGAAGATCCGGAAGACAGACCATGAATCATGCGCATGTGGATTTCACGGCTCATTGATGCTACTTGCAATGTTTCACTGCCCAAACCTGCAGTCGTGAAATCCACTGATCCCACCCTTGGATCATGAAGGCCTGTTGCTGTTCCTTGTGACCATCAGTCGCTTGATGCAAAAATCGTTTCCGGAGGCGTGCACCCTGAGAACAGAATCACCGTGCTGCTCCACACGCATTGTAGAAGAAGACTTCAGCTGATTTGTTTGTACATTTGGCTTGCATTATGAGCAAGAAGCTATAACTATATCATATCCATGTTGCCTTGAATTTGTGATTCACTTTCTTTTAACAACCAACTTGGCCAACATGGTTTGAAGTCCGGACCGATTCGTCCGATCGTCAGGATGGAAAAGATGTGGAAGTTCGGCTGGTTTGCCGTTTGCAGCCGAAGGTTCATTGGGTGCCAGAGATTTACTACAAGTTTGGCCCCTCGCCTCTTCTACAAATGAAGGCATGTGGCAGTATGTGGCAGCATGCATTTGTGTGATGGAATGGTTCACCATGAAAAAGACGCCCTTGCTCGTTTTGTGGGCACATGTGGGCACAAGCCAGAGAAGAAATGCCACATGCCATGAGTTTTACATGCTTCGGAACTCTGTGTGCACGCTTTGTTGCAAAGCGTGGCTTTTGAGGTAAAGACTATGGCCGAGGTTTCTTAGAGAAGGAAGCCGGAGCCACAGAGCCAGCCTTTGAACATCTCAGAACTTCGGGAGTTGGACGCTCCATTCAATGACAAGTGAAACATTCAATTGTAGAATGCCGGTACTGGAAGCTCTGGCGTCGCCAATATGCACGTGTCGTTCTCTCAGGAGGGTCGGTGACTGGTCGTTGTCACATGACACACGGCCCACGGACCGTGTGTCGATGTAGTTTTGCAGTGAGGCCAGCGTCGACATCTCGGAGGTCGTCAAGCAACTTGCCGTACTTTTTTCTGTTGATTAGGTTCCTTATGCCATTATAATGCCATTAGGTTGGAGGCCATCGCTCTTAAGTTATGATGAAGGCAGGCTCAGCAAGCTCAGCAAGCTCCAGCCTGGCATGAGTCCTCTTGAAATCCCGTTACACGTTGTGGCACGCTGGTTTCTTCCGGAGGGTCAGTCAAGCCCTTGTGAAAAAGGTGCCATTTCATCATTGGCCCACCCTTGAATCATCTCGCGTCCAATCAAATTCGGGGGCCATTAGAATGCACATGGATCTATATTTGTTTGGTTCTTTGTACTTCAAGATCTTGGACCCTTTCTCCCCGACTGCTTGATAGGTCGGCCGTTTGCCCGAAACGCGACGTTTCGGACGTCCGTCAGTCACCGCGGGTGACCGGTCGTTTGGGGCGACCGGTCGTTCACGTCCCCCAGGAAGTATACCTTCTCCGAGCTCGTCTCCGGACCCGAGGCGCGGCCGGTCACCGGCGATCCGAGAAGCCCTTGATTCATGAGGGGCTCCAAACCAACGTGGAAGGATGGTAGGACTGGACCCTCGAAAATCCTTCAGTAGCGTTTCGAAGGTGGGGAAGGATTTAGAGGGTCCAGTCATACCTTCTAAGGAGGTATGACTGGAGCCTATAGGGGTATAGATGGCGTAAGTAGAGGTCTTCGCAAGTGCTGCCTGGACCACTGTTTTCTCAAGGTCTTGCTGACGTCCAAAATTCTGTGTCACAAGGTATTTTTGAGAATCATATACACTTTGCCAGAAATGAAACATAGGTGATTGGGACAGAAGACCGCTTGTTCCATTGCCCAACCCCGAAATGGTGCCCACACCACTGTATTGGGTCCGAAGAAGATGAGACAATTCAATGTCGAATGTTGTAGAATCAATTGGCAACCCAGCTCAGTCAAATTGGGAAGATTAATGCCATTTTGGCTGACCAGGAGGCAGTGGAGGCCATTGCAGAGGAGATCAACCTTAGGATTGCGGATGCTTGCGCCTTCCACAAGATCAAGCCGCTCGGTTTCTGCGGACAACGGGAGCACTGAGCGCTCGTCATCAGGATGCGAGCGATCAGTCAACCGACCCCTATCGGAACGCTCATCCTGCAACTTGCATCCTTTTGTTGTGAACTTGAGACGGGTTCCCTTGAACAAACCTTGCTTGGATTGCTGCGTTCGGGTACTGAGTCTTGGTTCAAAGTGTATGCCTTTGCATGTGCGCGAGTGTGTTTCATCACCTTCGGGTGTGTGTGAGCATGTTTCTTTGGGTCATGACACTTCAGCTACTTGCCCACAAGACAGAAATCAGCCGATGCAGCGCTGCCTAAGGATTGCGAAAGACGAGACATCGATTGTGTTTCTAGACCCCGAGGGCGACTACGATGAATAGGTGGGTGTTTCTTCTCCTGCCCTCAATTGTTTGTTGGTTGCTCATGTTCCACTTGCAGCATGCACTCACGTCTATCAGAGTCTATCACACACACGATTCACACACGATTCACACATAGAACCCCGAAGTATAAATGAACAAATCTTTTTTCACGCCCTCACCCATCTCAAGCCTGGCTGTGAAGTCAGTCATTTCCTGTTTTGGCGATGTAGCCCTTCGCAGGGCACCTCGCTGCTTTGAGCTGATGGATCGGTACCTCTTCAGTGGCCAAGCCTTCTTCGACTCTTCAGTCCAACTGGAGTAGGTCCAAACAATCCAACTCAGAGGAGTTCCCGAAACAAACTCCTGTAAATTGACTACACGACTCAAATATATATATATATTATCAATATTCTATCTATAGTATTCTTATATCAAGGTGTATTCAGATGCTCCTGTTGTGATTCTGCGTGGTGTGACGTGTGTTTTTGTGGTGTAACCCAGCCCTCACCACCATGATTGGGACGGCTGATTGCTCCTACATGCACTTACCACGACTTTTCTCGGAGCAAGAAACGATGAATGGCAGGAGAGAAAGACCGTTAAGTATGCCACATGTTCTGCATCGAGAACCGCTTCCTCAAGCCTGCTCAAATTCATATAACATATATAACTCTGACACAAGCGAACTAGACCTTGCAGGGTGCAGGATATGCTGAAGACTTTGAAACCAGTGCTGTGAAGACTTTGGGGCTTGGCTCTGAAGGCAGGCGTGAACCAGCTCAGATTTCACTCAACTCAGCAGTGGGCGGTCATTTGCTCCCCCATGTAGCCCCGCCCCACCCCCTCCAGTCCCAATGCGTTGTAGCACTGCATTTGCAGGTGCCTGGTGTTGTTCCAAGAGGTCCACAATTGACCCATTGAGTGCATGTGCGGATGATGTAATTCCTTTCTTAGGGGAGAACCATCGGCATCTTGGCAACCTCAAGGAGAAACATGCTGCTACTGTTCGACCAGCGTTCAACATGCGATGAACAAACTCCTGCACCACCTGACACTACACAAAGCTTGAGGAATTCAGGAAGGTGCAATATTGTGTAACCAACAGGTGGTGCAGGAATGTGTTCATTAACAGGGAGTTGGCCCATGCCCGGTGCAAAGAGAAATCGAACAGATGCTTGAACATGTCGGCCAAGTTATTGTTCGAGAAAAAGGTCGCAAGCAGCAGGTTCAGGTAGATCCGTGAGCCAGGGCTGCCCGCCGAAAGCAACAGCAAGGTGGCTTGCTAGCCAGGGGGTGATATTATATTTATATATATGATTATATGTTTATCAGTCGCAAATCATGTGATGCTGAATGGTTATGAGCAAGTTTGAACCTAGAAGCTAGCATCGTTTAAATAAGCAAGATGAAGTTGATCCAGTGTGTGCCGTGCGAGACTGCGTGCGCCGCAGACGTTTCCGTTGACCAAAAAACTGCATAAACGATCTTAAAGGTAGCCAAGAGGGAGGGAGCAGGTTGGAGAATTGCTGAGTGGAACATAGTGGAACATCGCAAGTCAAAACATGTTGCCATCCAGAATTCAGCACGTGTTTGCTTGTTCTTTTGTGTGTTGAATCTTCCTTTGCTTCTCCATGATCATCACCAGTGAAGACCTGTCAAGACAATGCCAATTCCAGCATATAACTAAGGTGTAGTAGAATGCAATGTCACCAGCTTTTGACAGCAGTTTTCAATCATTAGTGCTGACACATGGAACATGTGAACTCAGGTTTAGAGACACCGTGTGTTCTGTTGTGCTTTTCCCATGGACTCGCTTTGCCTTGCGGAGCTTGCGGAGCCCGCCTGTGATCGAAGCAGACTGGTCTTTAACTATGGCCAGGTGATCTGGGGTGGAGCGGACCTCCCCGGAGCCTAAGGGAGAACAGGCCAATAAATTGGAGAAAAAAGTGAAGATAAGCAACATGTCAGTGAAGATAAGCCAAACCCAAACTACTAATAGGAGACAACCCACCAGCCAAAGCCAAACCCAAACCCACCAGGCCCATTTCAGCTGAGTTATTCAATTGTAGTTTGGGTTTGGCTTTAGCTGGTGGTTTTTTGACGTTTTGTGACTGATGGTCCGCCATTGCAGCTCTTTTCTTGGTCTTGTACGTCTTGAGTATACACATATATATATAGATATCTCCAGACACTCCATGTATGCCATGTTTGCCAACATTGACCCCCAAAACCACCCCAATGTAGGCATATATTATATGGCATACATTGGCATACATGCAGAGTCTGGGTATATATTATAAGTCCTCCGTGTCAGAGTGAAACTTCCTGGTGAGACGCACCCACTCCTTGCCCCCACGCTGTTCGTCGCGAAGTTGAAGCCCTGCGCCCTGGACTATATCAACGAGACGGTGGATGGCTTGGTGAGGCATAACCCACAGCTGGCAGAGGCAGGGAGTTCTCCTCGCATTAGCACTGACAAGCGCCGCAAAGGGCTAGTGCCCACGACCTGAATAGCAAAGTGGTATGAGGTCTGTGAAGGAGCCGATCCTGCCCTAATGATCCATATGTGGTTTTCCCCAACTGTGTCCCATTGAACTTCCTCCGCCGTCGTGCTGACCAGGAACTCACCTGGAGATGTTACCTTGGGCAGTCATCCCTCCGTGGCCTAGCTCATTGGGCATCCTGGCTGCTCTAGTCTTTGGGTGTGGCATGCGGTCGCACTATCCCTGGCAGCAAACCAAGTAAATTTGGTCAAGACACGTCCATTCTGGCCACGCGTTTGGTTGCACACCTCCATCTCCGGATCTTTGGTGCAGAATTCTGCTGGAGAGCTTCACCCAAGGAAGATAGTCGGATCTGACTTCGGTCCTACAGAATTCAACATGTTCAGCTGACTTCGGGTCACACCACATCAGATCTCAACACCTAAATTCGTGATGATACTCCTGATTCCTCTCAGCACCGTTGCTTGGAGCAACTTATATCCGTCCCGTCTCGTTTGGCCAGATGCTGCTGCTGCAGCCGGTGCAGGAGAAGGAGGTAGCAGTGCCTTTCAGCGACTCAGCCCAGATTGTCGGGGAAGGCTGCACCTTGGTGGAGTGCCAAGCAATGGAAACAGCTCAATCAAGCTTCAGCTTTTGTTTCTACAATCCATCAGACGCGTTAGTGAGTAATTATTGTTTTCCGATACATGCGAAGGACCTCCCAACTATATAAATTGCCCCTCATGGTGTTTCACTGCCGTGCATGGAGTGGTTTAGACTCAGGTCAGATGCGGAATGCAACCATTGAAATGGCAGGCGCCGGATTAGTTGAGATATTGTTTGTTCTTTCTTTGCTAATCCCTCAGCCGGATTCATACATAGCCTTTCTAGCAGACAGAGTGCTTCAGCACCAGCGGGCCTATCAGCATGAAGACTTACCCAATGGACTCCCAGACCTGCTTGTTCACGAGTTCCACCTAGTTGGAACTCCGGCACGTTTTTTCGACTGGATCAGCAAGGAGGAGCTTTGGGAAACAACATGGAACAAGGCCTACCCAGGTTTTTTCACCAGAGCACGTTCTCTTTTCTCGGACTGTGGCAGATTCTATGACGAGATCAGTCGATCCTGGCCATTTCTTCTTGGCCATCGAACTGTTGGTTGACGAGGACACGTAGCTGGCCCTGAGAATGAAGATTCTTCTTGTGGATCCGCATGCCTCGCACACCCTCGTACCACTTTTTGGAAGGCGCTTGAATCTGGTTTGTAGAATCATACTATTTTCCGAGGATGCGCAGTTGGATATGGCATTCAGGTCAGGAAAGGATATACAAGGTTCCCAGCCTCGCTTTGCTTGAAACTTTACAGCAGATGAACACGGTACATTGAAGGCCGTGGTGTTTCGTTTTCCTTTAGCGTTTTCGTGCGCTATTTACATTGGTTTCGCAGTTTCATGCAGTTTCCTTCAGGGCCATTCGGGAGAGCATTTGTGCTGTTTTGTGCTTTTATGCATCTTCACTGTTCAATAAGGTTTTTACAGTTGCTTTTATGCATGTTCGAGGCGTCACACTCATTCATTCAGTGTCTCGCGGGGGGTGGGGGGGGGCAATTTGCATTACCACCAGTTTGTTTGAAGATGAAACGGCTCATTGTGGCCACTTGTACACTCGTTCCAGAAACTGGGGCACTCTATATAGGCTTGAGGATGAAACGACACTTCGTGAAAACTTGATTCCGGAAAGAAGAGCATCACTGCAATTTCGTGCAGATGAAGCGACAGTTCGTGCAAACTCGATACTGGACACTCGAACAAAACAATGCAGAGTCATGGCTCCCAGTTTTCTTGTTGCTGTTTCCGTTTGTTTTGTTTTGCGTTTCCCCTTCTGTTCACTTCCTAGTCCTTCGTCGGTACTTGGGGAGGGCAATATCGGCCTAGTGTTTGAACAACAATGTATAGTTTGAGAGGTTGCTAGAAAGAAGCAACATGTCACTTCCGATTGTGGCGAAGCTCTCAGTTTTACACTCTGACCCAGTCAGGTCCTCAATGACACAAGTTCCAGAGAACATCAGAAACTCAGTCAGGCTAAAGGCTTACAACCTCACAGAGATCAAACAATCATGACAAAACCTGAGCCGTCTAAGCACCGTGCATCTAGCTGTGCATCATACATGGCCTTGAACTTGGACTGGTGCCCAGGTTCTTCCCGAGGCTCTCTGTGAAGATTCTAGACATTGATGGAGGCGATGGAGGTCAACTTATTCCTCTTAATGATTTAAACGCATCCACGATCCATGCTGTGGCCTTTGCTGCAGTGGAGAGAGCAAAGCAGCCCTGCTGAGCTAGAGGTCTTTGACCTATTTTCCTGTTCGGGCAAGAAGCGGCAATGACAATAATGATGGGATTGTTCAATTGGTGTTTTGAGGCCATAGTTTCTTAGTGATTCCGCATCGGCTATCATGTTCAAATCAGACCGCTCTTTCCTCCCAGATAACTGTTTGGTTTTAGATATCCAACAAAAAGGCCTTTCGGAACTCCTTCGCGCACCCTCCGTGGCAAGGAAAATCAAGTCCTACGGACTCTTTGGTTCCAACTGCCAGCACTACATACAGGACCCATTCGAGAGGCACTACTCCTCAAGATCCAAAGGTGACCTATCTAAACCGTTCTCCAACGGCATGTAATCCACACTTTGTGTTTCATCGGCAACTTATTTTGGGAGAAGATCTGCAAAGAACTCTTGGCGTATTCTTCATTGTGGAGGACTTGGTGAAGCACTTGAAGCTGGACTCGGAACTGCCTACGGATGACCACAAGATCATGGACTTCTTGAGGGCCATCACAGTGACGGGCTGCTTAGGTGGTGCCATCGCCAGGAGAGTCAGACATGGGACAATCATGGGACTTATGCAGTGGTTTCAGAGTAGATGGCGCAAACCCCTACATGTCTTTTTTAAGATAGGGGCCATATAAACCATCTTTTGTGTATTGTGTCATCTACTCTGGAAGCCACTGTATAGACTGTATCGTGCTTTTGGGGCCTTGATCAGTTCACGAGTTAGGCGAAGTTGGGATGGGGAGGGACCAGGGAGGCGGTCGAGCCGTGAGACCTGGTTCGCTCCAGGGGTGCTTTGGCCGTGGCTGCAGGTGCCAGCTGTCCGGCGCCCCAGGGACGCGAGCCCCCGCGAGCCACGTGGATGTCGGGGAACTCGAGCTCCCACCCCAGCTCCCAGCGGTTCCGAAGCATGGAGAGGAACAAACATGTATGGCCCTGGCGACCATGTATGGCCCTGGCCATTTTTTTGGACGACCATGGAACATGGATGGAACATGGAGAGGAAACCGGTCACGTTGTGATGGTTCCTCGAGTTGAAACTGGCCAAAAGCTACTTGATTCCACACTAGCCATCTTCAGAAATAGTAGCAATCAATTTGATGGAGACTTCACGAGACTTCCGTTGGTTCCCAATCACCAATCGGCCCCAGACAGCGAGGCAGCGTGGCCGTGGGCTCGTTGGCTGCAGGGTCCTTGGTGGCACTGGGTTTGTCTAAAGGCATCAGCAGCGCGTACCACGCGGTGTACAGCCGGCAGCATGATGATGCCATGTGAGTTCTGCTTGGAATTGAAAGGATGCAGTTCTGCGACAGTTCTTCGTAAATGGTTCTCGCAATGGTGTCCAATATGCTTCGTAAATTCTTAACAGAGCTCATGTGAAGGAAGTCAGTGTAGGCTGACAGCTTGCATATATTATGTATGGTGGGTATCTCCGAACAGCGTCTCCAACTGTCAACTTGCTACTGGTACTGCAGAAAGGTCCAATGATGGTTGAGGACTTCTATTCCTGGATGTTCCATGATTCTCGTGGGTTTGTCATGAACATCTTGTTTTCTTGGTGCAGCCAGTGGCTGCATACGATCCCTGCCGTGCGTTTTCTGTTGGCCAGGGAATTCGAGCTTGTCGCCCAAAAGGGGCGCTTTTCGCTTTCTCAACAAGAGGATTGATGCACCATGGGGCTTGGAAACGCTTCTTCCCGGGTTTGTTGACATTGGAAGAAGGCGAAGAAGGTCAGACAGAACGAACTCCGAATTGAGAGTAAGGGTCAGGACTGCTAAGATTCGGGTCAGAAGCCTCATGGCCAGCTGCCGCCAGCTGTCCTTTTCGGTTTCTCATGTGGACTCTCGCATGTACAGGATGCAGAGGGTCAAAAACATGCTGCAATAGTCGCTTCCTTCATGTTGTGAGCGGGAACGGGGTGGATCAATTCAACTCATCGCACTCACTGTTTGGGATACCCAGGACAAAAGCTCTCCAGACATGAATGACAACTGACGGCAACCGCTTGTTTTGACCTGTTTTGGCCAGGAAGAGATCGCCGTGGGGCGCCCGATGTCTCGGGGGACGGCCCCGTGGTCGCCCAAACGGCCGGAAGACGATGATTTGCTCAGGTTCAACGTTTGTTAGAGAGAGGGGGGGAGCATCCATGTCCTGTGGTTTCAGATGGCACTGGCACCCCAAGATGTCCTCTAGATGGGGGTCCATATAAACCACCTCTTGGGGTCTGTGCCATCTACTCTCAATCCACTATAACTACTGTAGTGCCGAGAGGGGGAGAGAGAGAGAGAGAGTATACAGTGACTGTTAAAGTGGCATCCATTAAACCGCGTTGCCCAGACTCCGCTGAGGAGGACAGCAGGCCGGGTTCGCCGGCACTGAACGAAAACAGGAAGCAGAACACATTCAGTGCAAGGTTGGTGTCCTGCTGTTCATCCTTCAATGCTTTCAAACCTCACTGATTGGATTTGATTCATTGACTAGCAGTGAACCGCTTTGGTCGCTATACAGCCCTTACCAAAATGGTGAACACAGGAAGCGAAAGGGATCGTCACAGCACACTGAAGAAGCTCTTGAAACGGAGCAGTTTGGGTGTGTATTTTAATAGGGAGGCCCACAATCAATGGGTCGTTCTAAGTTCCTTCTTCCAGAGGGCGTTGGAATAATTTGAGAGGTCTCCCTAGTTGAAATATCCAATTCGTGCGTGCCGTTTTATGATGTGTTATATGTAAAATTTCTGAAATTAATGGAAGGACCAAGCCGGCCACACGGTGGCTTCACCCATCTCACTGTGTTCTAGTCGATGGCGATGTGGAGGCAGAAGATGCGGCAAAACTTGGAGCGTTCCTTCAAGAAAGGCCACCGAAACGTCGACCTTTTTGAAGACGTGATGGCATGATATGGCTGGCTATGGCTCGACGCTATGGCTAAAATAAGGCTAAGGGAAGTGAACCTATCAAGTGCTGTCCACTGATTGCGTGAATCCACAGGGCTTTGTCTCAAGATCAGCAGGTCAAGTAGTATCAGTCGTAAGACCTTAATCCAACCGCCATCATGAGCTCTGTATGAAACACAGAATAGCTTGGCTTGCTCGAGGGAAAGCATTCTCCACATATAGGAGAAAAGATGTGAGGGTTTATCCTCCCAAAGCTATGAAAGACCTGATGAAGAAGGGTAGGGTTCCCAACTGAAACTCCGAACACTTTGTGAACTCATCACACAGGTCAGCTGCCGCCCACATCCACAAAGTGTCTGGGCGAGTTCTTGAAAGGAGGGAAATGTTTCCATGGAAATGTCCCCAACCCACGGGCAGACCAAGACCCAAGACCATAGCAGTTCTTTAAGACGAGACTTGGTTTGAAATCAGTGTGGAAACAATAAGGGGAAGTTCAACGTAGGTTTTAGCTCCCGGAAGAGGAAAACTATGAATGAACTGACCTACAAGTGTGTTGGAAATACGTTCCTGTAGATTTTCCTGGAGCTGGGCTTGAGGAAGGTTTGCTTTTCTTGCGGCCAAATGAATGACTGCGACTGAACCGAACAAAACGACCCACAACAGCATGAACAGGTGGTAGAGGAAGCAGGTTCCGACTTATGTCAACCAACTCCTGTCAGCCAGTCGCCATATTTCTTGCACAAATGGATTGCAAAGTTCTGAGCGAATCAGCGAAGGACCCGCTTTGCATCCCTTTGCTGATTCTTTGAGTTCCCATCAAGCTAGCCTGGAATCCATCATTAATTCCCTAAGCGGTCTGCATCCGCTAACATGTTTGCATGTGCGATCGAAGTTTCTTACTATCGTTCACAGATCAAAGGATTCACTCGACTCAGTGGCTTTTCACCTAGCC